AGACTAGGTATGCTCTTTTTAACTCTCACTCTCTCAAGACCTCTCACGTCGTAATCTTGCCGCCAATTAATTAGTTGTTAATCATTTTTTAAGGATATAAGATAATAATTAATTAATATTTGTATCATAATTAATTAATTAATTTCATAATATTTTATTATTGTATCCGGTCAAACTTTTCTTCATGGTAACAACTGTCGTGCTACTAATTATTTTATTAAACATTAATCTTTGATTATTTAATTTATAATTTTAAGTCACGTAAGTATGTCAAAATGGACTAACTTATTCATTTATAATATAATATATAACAACCATATTTTAAATTAACATAATATATAAAAAATAAAATTATAATATACATTCATCATTCGTAATTATATAAATATAATTAATAATGGGTACATTTAATTGATACGTATATTATATATGATTTATATATATATATATATATGTAGGTACATAACTTAGAAAAAGAATCGAATGTTTTTTTTTTTTTTTTTAAAGAAATGGGATGCACCATTTCGTAGTATTGAAGTTGAAGAAAAACAAATTTTAATAGAATATTACAAGATAAATACATGTTCTTAGATAATTATAAATTTCAATAATAATGCAATATCAATATATATATATATATATAAATGTATGTATACACATACACGTAAAATACACTCATAATTGAGCATAAATAATTATGTATAATTAAGATTAAAGCAAAATAATAATCAATTTGCCAAGAAAATTATGACTAATCATTGAATATTTAATCATATTATATAATTAAGCACGAACTTTACGGAACATTACTAGAAGCTTCAAATCAATTCTTGATTGGTTGCCGAGAAAATTAAGAAAGAAAATCAAGAACTGTTCTAGCTGTATGTGGGGGGACTAGCTATTTCCACCAACCATTTTTTCTAAAGAATGTTCTATTAAATTCTTGGGCAGCTATAGTCCAAAATTTTGTACGTCCAATTTCCTGGCAGGGTCCAAAATTGACGGTGGAAAATGCCCAATTGATAAAAATCATATATATATATATATATATATTTTAAAAATTATTATTAACTAAGTAAATTACATTAAATAAATTCTCCATAACCCAAGATATTTATATCTCTCAGGTCCATGTTTATCGGGTCAAATTCCCACGTTTTAGATCAGATCAGAAAATATACAATTAGAAATTGGGATTAAGAATAAATACTGATTTTAAAATTAATTACTAATAATTAATAACGTTAATTTTTTAATTAATCTTCACATATTATTGTTATTATAATTATTTATAATATTTATGTCGTCTGAATAAAAAATAAAAGAAAAATAAATGTCATTTGAAAACGCGGACAATAATTTAATTTGCTTGATTTTTATTATTTTTTAAATAATAATTATTTTATATATATAATTTAAAAAATTATATTATAAATTTTTTATTTTATACAAAAATAATATATTTTTTTTAAATTTTAAAAAACCCAATATTTTATAAATTGACAAAAAAAATGCTTAAAATATGTAAATTACGTAATTAATAATATAAAATACACTAATTTTTAAATAAGTAAAAAAATAATTATTAAATTGTATGTACGGTCAAACCTGTCGATTTTTTTAGGGGGGAAAAAAAAAAAAAAATTAAGTTACAACTGTACGCGCCGCTTACCCGAGTGTTTAACAAACGAATACTCGTTTTCAAGCTAAAAATGGTGTATTTTATTATTATTATTTTCTCTTTTCTGGTTCTTGATTTGTCTTATTGCATGAAACTTGTAATTGTTGATGGTAATCATCATTATATATGATAATATATTTATATATATATATATTATATAATATAATATTTTGAATTTCATTTCCAGCTTCGAGTGGCTGCGACAAGACGTCTGCACGGACAATTATAAATTTCGGCTTCCTCCACATCTCCAGAAACAAGTTCAGAGTTCTCTTCTTCTCTGTTTTATTTTCTTGGTCACCAAACACTAATTTCTTCTTCTTTTTAACCCAACGACCTTCTGGGTTTTCTTCAATCTCAAGAAAAAGGAAGAGGAAGAGGAAGAGGAAGAGGAAGAAGAGAAAAAGTTCACATTTTTTTCCTTGTGGGTTCTTTGCTCAGACTTGATTTTCTTCCTGCCAGATTGTCCTGAATTTCTGGCAGAATTTTTTTGAAGGTCAGAGTTTTTTTTTTTTTTTAGCAGTATTTTCTTTTCCATTAATTTCGAGTTAGTTTAAAATTAAATTTTCTGGTCTTTTGTTTTTTATGTTTATATGATTACCAATGCAGGTTTTTTTTAATGGTTTAATGTGATTTACTACCTAAAGAAAAACTAATGTATTAGCTGTTAAAGAAATTTACAGAACAATATTGTAGTGTTTGATGGATGAATCATTTCAATGGCGGATAGATCAGATGCCAGCAGCGTTTTCTCAATTAAGTTTTTAGATCTAAGTTCTTTTTGATTCTGAAAGTTTATGTAATTACTTAAATCAATCCGACGTTATTTTGAACGTAGTTTCAAGCTGCAAAAACAGCCAAGAGCATGGATATGGCAAATAATCCCAAAGGGAATCTTCATATCAGAAAAAAGAAAATGTTCTGGGATTCAATCATGAATATGTCTACCTCTTTTTCTGATCTATATTCAATTTTAGAAGTCGTTTATGTCAAGAAGGAAGAAAAAAAGGAAAGAAATTAAGTACCTTAATCATGAAATCTTTTCACTGTCTTCTCTGTTATGGGAAAAATCAATTTGGAATACCCAAGTGATTATGCTTTTGTTTTTAACTAAATGCAATGTTGTTCTTCAAAACCCATGAATGATTCTGTCTTTAGAAAACTGGGTTTAATTGTTTTTCTGTCGTAAAAAAGTATGTATATATATATATATATACATATACATATGTGTAAAAAGCCTCAAATGACTGAACCGGCTGTGCATACACATCTTTTGTGTTTCTGTTACTCAGATATGGAGGACAAAGAATATGTGGTTTCTGTTCCAACACTCCTCAGAAAGTTATCATCGCGTGAAATCACTGGATTTGATGTCAACAAGACGGGTATTGCGAATGATCGATTTGAATTGAGTCGGTATCAGTCCTGCAACTCATCAGAAGCCACAGTAAGTTGCTAACCAGACATATTTTTAAGCCTTGGTTTGATACCTGATGCTAACTTTAAATGTTTTGTTCTTGCTATCATTGTTAATGTATAAATAATTGATTGAATTATCTTTGATCGGATTAACTTTTCGAGATAATCGGTGACAATGTATTATTATTCGATGGTATCAGAATCAAAGTTCTAGTCCTGAATTTGTGTTTTGTTATAACAGGAAACAGAAACAAATGCTACTCAAAGACAGAGTATTGAGTCTGAACCTGTTGGTCATCAGAGGAAGCCATCTCTTTCGGTTAGCTTGCCTACTTCTCCAACGAAAATTGGCTTAAACGACACGAAAGAAGTGTTCTTCACCCCGGAAATTCCAAGTTCTTCTGCTGTATTTGAGATTGCTGACATGCAGTCGAAGACAGTCCAATTCCATTCTCAGCCAATGCCAAAAGGATTTCCATCTGTGGAGCCAGCTAAATTAGATAAACTCCCTATCAATCCAACTGTTAAGAGGCTAAAAGAATATGGTCGGTATGATTCCTTCAAAACGTGGTCTGGAAAACTCGAGAGGCAGATATCGAATCTTCGTGGAAAGCCACAGCCTAATAGACCAGAAAATAAAGCTGCTCAGAATAGAGAGAATGAAGCTTTGTCTGTAGACAGATACTTTGATGCCTTGGAAGGACCTGAATTGGACACTCTCAGGGTGAGTTTATTTTCTTCCTTCTAGTTTCGCCGTATTGAGTTTGATTCAAATTTTGACCACAATAGCTTTCTTATCTGTTGAAAAAATAAAACCTCGGTATATATACAATCACTCAAAATAAAAAGTGAGATAAAAAAAAACATAAGATTTAACGTAGTTTGACAAATATGTCTACATGTAAAGGTAAAACTGAAAAAAAAAATTTCATTGTAATGAAAATTGAGAGTACATCGTTGATAGAGTTGTAAATCCTTACATATACAAAGTACTAGAATTTTCTCTAAAATATTCTCCAAAATACACATAAAACATTCCCATAATCAAGCTACAATCAACATTATGATTATGACATGAAAGTTTATTTGTACAGGCTTCGGAGAAAATTGTGCTTCCAGAAGACACGACATGGCCATTTCTTCTCCGGTTTCCCATATCTTCGTTCGGTATCTGCCTTGGAGTTAGCAGCCAAGCCATTATGTGGAAAACCTTAGCCACTGCAGAATCCACAAAATTTCTGCACATAAGCTTGAAGATCAATTTGATCCTATGGTGCATCTCTCTGTTACTTATTACTGTTGTTGCTTCCATCTATCTTTTGAAAGTAATACTCTATTTCGAAGCAGTTCGTCGTGAGTATTATCACCCGATTCGTGTCAACTTCTTCTTTGCCCCTTGGATAGCCCTCTTGTTCATGGCTCTTGGCATGCCGCCTAGAATTTGTACCAGCCTCCCGGCTGCCCTTTGGTACGTCCTCATGGCTCCAATCCTTTGTCTCGAACTCAAGATTTACGGACAATGGATGTCAGGTGGGCAAAGAAGGCTTTCAAAAGTGGCCAATCCTTCGAACCATTTATCGATTGTAGGGAATTTTGTTGGAGCGCTCTTGGGTGCATCAATGGGGTTGAAAGAAGGTCCTATATTCTTCTTTGCAATTGGGATGGCTCACTATACAGTCCTGTTTGTAACTCTATATCAGAGACTCCCAACTAATGAAACATTACCCAAAGAGCTCCATCCTGTTTTCTTCCTGTTTGTTGCAGCACCAAGTGTTGCTTCAATGGCTTGGGCAAAGATCACCGGTTCCTTTGATAATGGATCAAAGCTTGCTTACTTCATTGCCTTGTTTCTTTATATAGCTCTGGTAATTGGATTCTCCCTGCCATATTTGCATATCATATATTGATGAACATATATATAATATATGATTGCTTAATTATCCACAATTAGTTTCTAAATCAGAATGTGTTTTTTGTGTTTTCTAATGATTTTTCAGGTTGTTCGGGTTAACTTCTTTCGAGGATTCAAGTAAGTTTTGCCTCAGACCCATTAAGCCTCGTGTTAAATACTTGATTGTACTCGATTATACTAAAAGTTTAAACTTTGATTTACAAGTATTCAATCTATTATTTATACGTTAAAGCTTTGATTGATCTTTTAAATTCTGATTTATCTTTGAATTGCAGGTTTTCATTGGCTTGGTGGGCGTATACTTTCCCCATGACCGGAGCTGCCATTTCAACGATCAAGTATTCGGAAGTAGTCACGAACGTGTTAACTCAAGTCCTCTCGGTGATCCTCTCCGGAGCTGCAACACTCACTGTGACAGCTCTACTCGTGACAACAATAGTCCATGCTTTTGTGCTCTGGGATCTCTTCCCTAATGACATCTCCATTGCCATTTCGGATAGAAAACCGAAACACAATGGATGGTTCCGGCATCTGAGAACCAGCAGCTCAGAAAACATTGAACATTACTTGAAATTTTCAGAGACAACAAATGGGAAAGACATAGAAGCTGGTAAGATTAATAAAATTTAAGCTCCAAATCCTGTCAGTAGATACAAGAGGTTCCTTGCAAATTTTGTGAAATCTTCGTCAATCAAATATATGAGATGAACGCATAATCAGGCACGGATTTATGATCGTTTCGATGAACGTATATAACGAGGAAATGAAGATTTCTGCAGTAAGGCTAATGTATAAATGATGAGCAGTGGTATGTACTGCGTATATTAGATGAGAAATTTTTATGTATAAATATATGAAAGTAATAAGTATTTGTATCAGTATTAGCAATAGAAGTTTTTTTTGCAGTTCTCATTAGGTAGAATTTTGGGATCCTCTGTAAGCCTGTTTGTATGCTGTGTGTCTATATATATCACGATTGCATATTGATATTAAGTATAGAACTTGGAAGAAGCACTGAGCCAAAGATAAATAGCTCGATTTGTAGAGCTCTGCTCGTGTAATTGGATCGTCGCGATTATAAACTTGGTGTGTAAATTATTCAAGTGATAACGATAATATTTTGTAATTCATTTTTTCTAAGTAGTAGAGAAGATGATCAAATTATACTATTAAAAAAATTATATCGAGATAAAAATGTGCTATCAAGAATGTAAAGGAGGTAAAACGATCAGTTGGTCAGATTTAATATAGATCGTATATAAACAATAGTTGAAGATGACAATTTTAGTACGGTTAGTTTTTTCGTTTAAGATTCTTGAGAACGAGAAATTAATTTTTTTTTTTTAACTATTTGAGTGAAATGTGATAAAAAAAAAATTATAAACCGAACCCATTATTTTCATTCTATATAAACTACGAGATCATTTTAAAAATATATTTTATATCTAAAAATTATATATTGATTATAAAATTAGTTGTTATTTTAAGTAAATATTTATTAATTATAAACATAAATTTTTAATAAAACTACATAAAAATGTAAAATATTATTTTTATATCGTAGTTAAATCATTTAATTTATATATATATATATATTTAAATTTATTGCTATTTTAAGTAACATTTTAGGTAATAAATATTTATCTATTTTATATAATAATTATTTTTATTTATAAATATTGTAAGATTGAAGTGTTACAAATTGAGCTGAAGCTCAACTTTGTCTTTTTATTTAAACTTTTCAAAAATTCAATCCTTATATATACACACACACACATATATATATATACATATATATATATACATATAAGCATGTGTAGGAAAAGAAAAGTGAGATATTATATATATATATATATTGAAGTCTATTCTTAAATAGATATAGCTCCATAGCATGTGATGACAAGTTGACTATACCATTGGGGAATGTCTTGGTCCCTTCAATATAATAATTATAGTCAGCCATTACAGGGTTCATTGTCTTTTCCTTGAAGTGACAAACCAATTAAATCTATGTATATAACACTATTTTGATTTATAATTTAATTAATTATATTTAATTTTAATAATATTTGCTTCTGTTAATTTTAATTTATAATATAAAAAAAATATTATTTTCATCTTACATATTTAAGTTAGATTATTTGTTTTTTTTATTACATTTTAAATTTATCGTGTCAATATATATATATATAAATTAATCTGCATAAAAAGTTATCAAATTAATTGGGTATATTTAGAAATGATTCGATACAATTAAGAGCGCATTCCGATATGATTAAAGATATATTAGATCTTAATGCATTAAATTAAAAATTAAATTTTATAATTTATCAAATTAAGAATATAAAAAATTTACAGACAAGTTTAGCCTATATTACACGTACGAATTTTTTATTATGATATTCTATCACTAGAAATAGAGAGAGTGTGAGAACTCAAAATACTACGTGAAAATTTGAAAAATATGCCGTAGGACGTGTAGATTTCTTCTACTACGGATTTATGTACGTTTCTATGTTTATTTTTTTTTATTCAAGATTTATTTACAGTTGTTTTTAAATTTAGTTTGATTTAATTTTAACGTTTATATATTATTGTCGAGATATTACATTATGATTGATGTTTTTGTATTAGTTAATAAAGATTATCTCGTGAATTAAAATATTCTTATTATTAATTAATTAAAAAA